ATGTCAACATCTGGCATTTTCATTTCACCTTCTACCTTGGGCACAGACACATCCATATCCCCTTTGACTTTGGGGCCTTTCAAGTGTAAGTCCACATCAGGCATGGAGATCTTGGGGGCCTTGAAGTGCATGTCTGGCATCTTAAACTTGGGGCCTTTCAACTTTCCTTCTGGACATTCAATATCAATATCACCAACATTAACATCCATCTTAGGGGCTTTTACATCAATTTCAGGACCTTTCAAGTCTCCTTCTACTTTGGGAAGGGAAACATCTACATCAGTTTTCAGTTTAGGGGCTTTCAGATTAAGTCCAACATCAGGCATAGAGATTTTGTGTGTCTGTATATGCATGCTTGGCATCTTGAACTTAGAGCCTTTTAGTTTTCCCTCTGGAGCTTCAAGATTCACATCTGCAGCACCAATGTCCACCTTGGGTCCTGAGACATCAATGTCAGCTTTGGGCAGGTTCACATCAACTTCTGGGCCCTCTCCTTTGAAGCCAGGCATGCTGAACTTGGGCATTTTCACCTTGGGCATCTTCAGGTGCCAGTCTGGACCATGAACTTCCACATCTGGTGCATTAATGTCAACTTTGGGGCCTTTTATATCAACATCAGGAGCCTTTATCTCTCCCTCTAGTTTTGGAGCTGTAACATCATAATCTCCTTTCATTTTAGGACCTTTCAAATGCAAACCAACATCTGGCATAGATATTTTCTGAGGCTTTATATTCATTTCTGGCATCTTAAATTTGGGACCTTTTAGTTTCGCATCTGGACCTTCAATATTCACATCTGGAACTTCAACATCCACCTTGGGTCCTGAGACATCAATATTGGCCTTCGGTAGGTTCACATCCACTTCTGGGCCCTCTCCTTTGAAACTGGGCATGCTGAACTTGGGCATTTTCATTTTGGGCATCTTTAGGTGCCAGTCTGGGCCATGAACATCAACATCTGGAGCAGTAATGTCAACTTTGGGCCCTTTAATGTCAACATCTGGCACTTTCATTTCACCTTCTACCTCAGGCAAAGACACATCCACATCTCCCTTTAGTTTGGGCCCTTTAAGATTCAGGTCCACATCAGGCATGGAGATCTTGGGGGCCTTGAAGTGCATGTCAGGCATCTTAAACTTGGGACCCTTAAGCTTCCCGTCTGGACCCTCGAGGCTCACATCAGGGACTTCAATGTCCATCTTTGGTCCCGAGACATCAATGTCGGCCTTGGGCAAGTTCACATCCACTTCTGGACCTTCTGCTTTGAAACCGGGCATGCTGAACTTGGGCATTTTCATCTTGGGCATCTTCAGGTGCCAGTCTGGGCCATGAACATCAACATCTGGAGCATCAATGTCCACTTTGGGCCCTTTGATGTCAACATCTGGCATTTTCATTTCACCTTCTACCTTGGGCACGGACACATCCATATCCCCTTTGACTTTGGGGCCTTTCAAGTGTAAGTCCACATCAGGCATGGAGATCTTGGGGGCCTTGAAGTGCATCTCAGGCATCTTAAACTTGGGACCCTTTAGCTTCCCTTCTGGACCTTCAAGGCTCACATCTGGGGCTTCAATGTCAACCTTGGGTACTGAAACATCAATGTCAGCTTTAGGCAGGTTCACATCCACATCTGGACCCTCGCCTTTGAGGCTGGGCATGCTGAACTTGGGCATTTTCATCTTTGGCATTTTCAGGCTCCAGTCTGGGCCTTGAACATCCACATCTGGTGCTTTAATGTCTACCTTGGGACCTTTGATGTCCACATCTGGAACATTCATTTCACCTTCTATTTTTGGTGCAGATATATCTAAATTTCCTTTCATTTTGGGTCCTTTAAGATCCAGGTCGACATCTGGCATAGACATCTTAGGTGCTTTGAAGTGCATCTCGGGCATCTTAAACTTAGGACCTTTCAACTTCCCTTCTGGTCCTTCAAGGCTCAGATCTGGAGCACTAATATCTACCTTTGGTGCAGAAATGTCCACGTTAGCCTTGGGTAGGTTCACATCCAATTCTGTGTCCTCTCCTTTGAGGCTGGGCATGCTAAATTTGGGCATTTTAATCTTTGGCATCTTCAAGTTCCAATCAGGACCATGCACTTCAACATCTGGGGCACTGACATCTACTTTTGGGCCTTTCAGGTCCCCTTCCAGCTTTGGTACTGTTACATCATATTCTCCCTTCACCTTGGGACCTTTCATATGTAAATCCACATCAGGCATGGAGATCTTGGGGGCCTTGATGTTCATCTCTGGCATCTTAAACTTAGGACCCTTCAGCTTTCCTTCAGGTCCTTCAATATTCACATCTGGAACTTCAACATCCACCTTGGGTCCTGAGACATCAATGTCAGCCTTAGGCAGGTTCAGATCCACTTCTGGACCCTCTGCTTTGAAACCAGGCATGCCAAACTTGGGCATTTTCATCTTGGGCATCTTCAGGTGCCAGTCTGGTCCTTGAACATCCACATCTGGGGCATCAATGTCTACTTTGGCACTTTTAAGTTCAACATTAGGAACTTTAATCTCACCTTCAGCCTTTGGCATTGTAACATCGTATTCTCCCTTTACATTAGGGCCTTTCAAGTGTAAGTCCACATCAGGCATGGAGATCTTTGGGGCTTTGATATTCATCTCAGGCATCTTAAACTTGGGCCCTTTCAATTTCCCTTCTGGTCCCTCAGCGCTAACCTCTGGAGCACTAAGATCCACCTTGGGCCCGGAAATGTCCACATCAGCCTTGGGCAGATTTACATCCACTCCTAGGCTCTCTGGTTTCAACCCTGGCACACTGAATTTGGGCATTTTCATCTTGGGCATCTTCAGGTGCCAGTCTGGGCCGTGAACATCCACATCTGGGGCATCAGTGCCCACTTTGGGGCCTTTCAATTCTCCTTCAAGCTTTGGTACTGTTACATCATACTCTCCCTTCACCTTTGGGCCTTTAACATCCAAATCTACATCAGGCATGGAGACTTTTGGTGTCTTGACACTCACATCAGGCAGCTTAACATCAGAGCCTTTAAGTTTGACCCCTAGACCCTCCATGTTGACATTTGGGGCTTCCACATTGACCTTAGGCCCTGAAATATTGACATCTCCTTTGGGTAGAGTGATGTCTACATCTGGGCCTTCCCCTTTGACTTCTGGAGTGCCGAACTTGGGCATTTTCATCTTGGGCATTTTCAGGTTCCATTCTGGGCCACGAACGTCCACATCTGGTGCACCGACATCCACTTTGGGGCCTTTGACATCAACTTCAGGGACTTTGACTTTCCCTTCTACTTTTGGGAGTGTGATATTTACATCCCCTTTCACTTTAGGTGCTGCAGCACTCAAGTCTACATCTGCCATAGAGATCCTACAGGTTCCTGTTTTTCCAGAAGGACTGCTAAGCTTGGGGCTTGTCAAGGTCCCCTCTAGGTTCGGTGTCTCTATGTCCACTCTGATGCCTTTAACTGCCACTTGAGGCCCTTCGACATCACCTTGCACCCCAGGAGCAGAAACCTTAATATCTCCTTTCAGTTTAGAAGACCCGAGGCTCAGATCCACATCCTGCATAGAGATTTTAGGTTTCTGAATTATCATTTCAGGAGTCTTGACTTTAGCACCTTTTATCTTCCCTTCCAGCCCACCAGTAGCAATCTCAGGCAGACTGACATCCCCAGAGACTCCAGGAAGAGTCACTTCACCTGTAGGCAGTGTCACCTCAATGCCAGCTCCCTCTCCCTTTGAACCTGATACAGAGAATTTGGGGACTTCCATCTTGGGCACATTCAGTTTGCCCCCAGGCCCATGAACATCAACATCAGGGGCACAAACTTCCACACTGGAGCCGGTGATGCTGCCTCCGAGTTTGGGAGCAGAGGTGTGTACCCCAATGCTCCCCTGTGGCTTGGCACCTTTCAAGCCTAGGTTACCCTCAAGTGATGGCCCAGTGATTTGGGGGCCCTTCAGCTTTCCCTCAAGCCCCTCAACATTGGCAGAAGGGGCACTGACTTCCAGCTGAGGGGCCTGGATGCTCCCACCGATGGTCAAGCCTGGCCTGCCGCCCTCGTGCCCCACAGAGAATTCAGGTGCAGAAACACTCAGCCTGGCCGCTGGTGCCTGGCCCTCGGGCCCTGTCGAGACACCAAATTTTGGCGCCTTCATGGTGGGAATTTTAATTTTCCCATTGTCACCACTCTCGAAGGATGGGCCCTGCACCTCCACTGCCCCACCCCCAAGAGAAGACAAAATATCCGATGCTGGAACTTGGACCCCTCCTCTGCCACCCAAGTCTATGCCCTTTGTGCTGACATTGACACCTGAGCTTCCCACCTTTATCCCAGGCATGGTGACTTGCAGCTTCGAGTGGCTAGCACCTTGGAACTCTGGTCCTGAAGCAGAAATGGGCCCTGCTTGGATCTCCACTGCAGAGCCCGTGGCTGGAGAGGCTGCCTCTGAGCCCGAGGGCAGTCTGATCACTGTCTTCCCCGACTGGGTCTCCACATCCACATTGGAGATTTCAGTCAGTTCATGTCTTGGGATCTTGATCTTGAATTCAGGGCTGCTGATGTCGATGTCCTTGGCTCCTTCTCGGCCGGTCACATCCACGGTGTAGGCCGTGACCCTTCTGGTCACTGTGATGGTGCGGCTCTGGGTCTCCCCAAGGTCCCCTTCCACTCCGTCCTCCGACCTCAGCCGAGGCTTGATCTTCGTGGTGTAGATGCGCTGATACTCCTCATCATCCCCGCTCTGCAGAAAGACACGCCGGCAGAGGTTGCAGCAGGGTCTGCCTGAGTTACCAGACGCCCGGCCACAGCCCAGACGACAACATGGGTGCCTGTTTCCCAGAGAAGCTGGGACCAGAACAGAGGTCCACGGAGCCTCCTGGGGCAGAGCACGAGGGACTGAAGAAAGGGGCTGACGGCCACATCACAGGAGGAAACCTGGAATTATTTGGGGGTCAGTCAGGTAACCAAAACCCATGGGGAATGGGGGCGGTATACTCCTGGACTGTGCGGTCTGGGAAAAGGACTTCCAGGCAATTAGAGGTTCACATCGGCCTGTTGCAGGGACCACCCAGGAGACCAGGCCCTTCAGCTCCCAACTCTCAACCACTGGCTTGTTTGTTTAACCAGGAGGGGGTCCTCTTAGGGCCCTGTGCACTGGAGAGCATTTGTCGAGCCTAAAAGACTGGTCGTGCTCGGGTTAACACTCTCGCTCGGAGTACCCATTATTTGTTAACTAAACAAGCCTTCGGGAAGAACAATGTCCCCACAGGCACTTTGCTGCCCAGCTTCTGACTCACAGAATGATTTTGGGCCTCTGTAAGGAGAAAAGTGGTGTCTGTGCGGCAGAGTTGGGCACCTGTGAGGTGATTTCAAAGACTCTTGCAAAGCACCCGACCTTCCCCCTGGAATCTAGGACCAGGCTGTACCAGTCGGTTCCCCCGCTGTGGCCCAGGGGCACTCTGAAGAGACTGATGTAGGACAGCACCAGCCACATGCCACACGTGAGCAGGAAGAAAGAGGCAGCAGAGGGCTGGCGAGAGTGCAGACAGGTAGAGGGAGGAGGAGGATTTGTAAGAGGCAGACAGAAGGCTCAGGACTGTGAGCAGCAGGCCGGTGTGGCGGGGGAGCTCAGGGCACAGACGGGAGGGCAAGGCACTCACCAGAACCACTTCAGAGCTGCGGGAGCTGAAGACTTCGTGGGTCCAGGTCTGGCCGGGCTCGGGGGAGCGGTCCCCCTTGCGGTGCAGCTTCAGGCCCACCGTATGGTGCCCCATGGTGTTCAGCAGCTGGGTCACCTCGCCCGACTGCAGGTTGTCAAAGTAGATGGTGGCACCCACAATCTGGTCCCCTGAGCACAGGAGGGGCAAGAAGCAGGTAAGACCCACAGGGTATCAGGGAAACAACACAGCCACGACATGCTGGGCACTTGAGCTGACTCCCATTTAACCTTTGTGACCATCCTACAAGGTGGACAGGGTAATACCCATTGCACAGATGAGGAAACTTGAGGTTTACACAGGCCAACTAATTTGTCCAAATCTGCAGAGCTCGTGGGTGATGGAGTCGGATCTGAGGACTAGGTCCCCACTGCCCCACAGGATGGCCTCCCCCAAGGACCACAAGCAAGGGACACAGACTGAGCAAGGGAGGGCAGGGCTTGGGTACCGACCATCCTGATGCCACTGGGACCACATAGCCCGCTCTGCCTGCTCTCTGCCCCTGCCCGTCCCTCTGACACCCTGACCTACCCGACCCCCAGCACCCAGTCTGCACCCTGGGGCGACTTACCCTCCTTGACCACCCCAGTGCGGGCCGCAGGGGAGTTCTGCATCACCTCCTGCACGTAGACGCCATCATCTCTCTGGGCAATGGTCAGCCCATGGGAGCCGCTGCCCTGCCAGTTGGGCAGCAGCAGCTCCCGGGTTGTTTCTTCCTCCTTCTCCATCTGGGATGAGGTGAGGAAATGGAGCTCAGGTGAGTGGGGATGCCAGGGCGCAAGGGGATGAGACAGCTGGGGACCTCTGTGCTGTGGACTTCCAGCAAGTGGAACGCTCTCTCCGATGCACCTGACCCCGCGTCCTGGCTCACCCGCCTCACGTGCCTCCACCATGGGAGTTCCTCCAAGCCACAGCAGAGAAGATGGAAAGGAGACAAGGGAGGCAACAAGCCCCTCGTCCCTTCCACCAGGTCCCCAGCCTCCCCAGGCCACTTTGGGTTTCCACCTGCCCCCATCCCAGCACCTCCCCCTCTCGCTGCCCCTCCCTCCTACTGACCTTTGCAGGATTCCGTTCCGGAGCGAATGCCTTGCCAGGAGCCCGCCCCTCCTTCCTCTCTTCCCCTCAGTCTCTCTTGTTGGGATCTCGGTCACACAGCCTAGGGAAAAGGTCCCAGAGATGCTCACACCAGGAGTCAGCTTGCTTGACACCCCGACCCACACCGTGGCTGGTGCTCTGTTCCCAGGCCAGACCACAGCCCGCCCCATGCCTGTGGTTCTTCTCTTCCAGGGCTCTGCAGCCTGGCATTGCGGAAAGGGCTCTAGAAGAGCCAGACTCAGATTCAGATCCTGGCTCTGCCTCTTCCTGGCCCTGGGGCCTGACCAAGTCACTTAACTTCTCTGAACCTTTGCTTCCTCATCTATAGAAACGGAGATGATAAAAGATTCCCGTGAGGATTGAAGGAGAGACAAGGGAGCCAGAGTGAAGCGCGCAGGCCCAGGAGCCCCACAGCATTTCACGATGTTCTTTACAACAGCTTTGGGACGGAGACACTGCTGTCCCCACTTTATAGATGGAGAGACTGAGCCTGTGAGCGGCCGATGGCCTGGAGGACACAGTAAGACAGCAGCTATGTGGGGCTCAGACTTTGAGTCTGTAACTCTCTGCTCTGTACCACACCAGGTCTGCAGCTTTTGACTGGTGTGAGACTCCTCGCACAGTGGCTCCAAAGAGGCATGGTGGCGCCTTCCCTCCCCCAGTGGCAAACCGTGACTCCAGATCACCCTGCCTACCCTGGCCCTCAGGACCAGGGGGAAGCCCCCACCAGCTGGGGGCTCCGGGAGCCCTGCCACAGGCAGTGGCCTGAACAAAAGAAGCCCCCACCTCACCAGACACCCGCCCAAGCCCAACAGGCTGGAGTATAGCTGAGCCTGCGTCAGGCCCGCGGTGCGTCAAGGCCATGCTGGCTGCCCACACTGGCCCGAGCCAGGCTCCCATAGGTGCAGGCATTTAGTAATAAAGTTGCCCTCCTGCTACGGGGTGAGCTGTCAGTGGCAGAGGCGCCCTGGGAAGACACCACGCAGGACTCTGGATACGGCCGCGAACTACAGCCACCCACACAAAATGGCGGTGCTGCTATCAAAGGCACGTCTGTGAAATTGTGTGGGGGACGCTATAAATCGTGGGGAACCTCACCCAAAGCCCCACCCCAAAGCTGTTTACATCCAGCAATTAGTCAACCAATCAATAAATTCATGCATACTGATTGCCTCCTGTGTGCCTGACATTGTACCGGGCACTGCCGAGAAAACCAGCCAGGGACAGACACAGCTCGCCCAGCACTTAATCACACGCTGCCTCAGATTGTTACCTAACCTCACTCGCACACCCTCGAAACATTTATTGAACGCACTCCATGTGCCAGATACGGAGATTTCAAAGACTTGGTTCCTGTCCCAGATATAAATTATGAGCAAGGTATTCATAATTTAGCCTCAAAATGTTCCAGAAGGCTTGGGAGCCTTTTAGGGGGAATGAAATATAAATGGGGTCTTGAAGGTGCTAGAGTTGACCCCTGAGGACAGGACTGTGTCTCTCGGGAATTTATGGGCATTTAACAGTTCCAGTGTCAGGCAGATCACAACAGGGATGACAGATAAACTCTTAAACCCCCAGTCCTCCCGACACCTGTTCTCTTGTTTGACAAAGGCATAAATGTGGTGATTATGATGTGCCTCCTGGTCAACACAGGTGCTGGCGAGGAGGTGACAAAGACTGTGACGGGTGAGCGGCCTGCTGGCACAGGTGTGGGCTGAGGAAAACACCTCCTCCCTTCCCGGCAGGCAGCGGAGGCCGCTACAGGAAGTCATGCTGTCTCTTCCCAAAGTGAAGCAGCAAAGCCGGAGCTTAAATGGCACCTTCTCCCGAGCCCAGCACTCAGGAGCCAGGCAGAGGCAGGGAAGGACAAAGGGATTCCAGACTGGGTCTCTCAGACAGCACTGCAGCCACCCTGCAGACCGCCCTGACACCCCTGTCTTCGTCCTTGAGCAGGGCCCCTTTCCTCAGCCCAGAAACCTGGTGCTGAGCCAGCAGCCAGAGAGGGGAAGAACGCAGCCAGCTCACCCTCACCCACGGCCTGGCCCCACCCTCCCTCCTTCCCCAGTGAGTCACAGCAGCTGGCCGCAACAGCTCCAGACATGCAAAGGGTCACGCCTAAAACCCATGGACAAAGTGCCTCCTAGGCCAGACCCTGGGTGCCAGAGGATCCGGGGCTCCAATGCTGACAGGCAGTCGGCTTCCCTGCCAGTGCCCTCAGGATGTAATCCCAAGACGGGAGTCCCGGGAAGCACGGCTTTGAGGCTCAGGAGAGACCTGCTGCATGTCTCAAGCCAGGTGGCTTCTGAGGAGGGGAGAAGCCATCAGCCATGAGGAAGGATCCGTAGCCCATGAGGACAGGAGCCATGGGACCTAAGGCTGCAGGTCGGCCCTGGCAGGGCACCCGACGGCTTCCTGGCCAGGCGGGGCTGCCAACCACCCTGCCTGCTCTGGCTCCAGTGCCCCTGTCCCGGCACAGCCAGGAAAGACTCCCCTCTCATCTGATCGGGACCACTGAGTCCCAAGAACTGGGGTGGAGATGCAGAAGGGAGCTGTGAAGCCAGAGTGGCTGTTTTCTGCATTTGGTCCCAGCCCTTCTCTTCTCCACTGCCAAGCCCAGGTGGTCCTTCCTTCTCCTTCCACACAAGTTAGGTTAGGCCAGGCTTCCAGGGAGCTGAGGGCTCTGCCCTGCTGTTACCCAAAGGAGGGCCTTTGGAGCTTTGGGGAATTCTGCATGACTGAGCCAAGTGTCATTTGCCTTCAGAGCTAGGAGGGACCTTAGAGCCACACCATCCAACATGGTAGCCACGTGTGCCTATTTACATTTAAATTAATTAAAATTAAGTTAAACTAAAATTTTAATTGGCTACTATATTAGACAGCACAGGTACAGAACATTCTACCACTGCCAAGAGTTTGATGGGACAGCACTGCCTGTTATTTACAGATGGGGAACTGAGGCCCAGAGAGGTGAGGATGGGAGAGCACTGGAGCCCTAGAACCCAGGTCAGCTATCTCCAGCCCCGAGGTCCACCTGACACTGGCTCCCTGTCTCTCTCATGATAAGCAGGAGATCCCCTACGGCAGACGGCTGCCTGGAGGTCAGAAAGAGAGAGAGGTGGTGAGGCCACTCCGGCTGCAAAGCCAAGAGGACACACATCCAAGACTGAGGGACAGACTGTAGTTCAGGCCCGAAGCAGTGAGAGAACAGGCCGTCTTATCACTGCAAAACTGCAAAGAGGACATGACGAGCAGCGGGGCTCTGCCACACCCTCCCCTGTGGACTGACGATGATGCCTAGCAGATCCCGGAGAGGTTCAGAAAGCAGAGTCCTTGAACCGTGCAGTGGCCTCTGCCAAGGGTGAGCTCTGGAGAAGCATCCTTCCCCCACCGCCCACAGGGAATGGTGCCCCCTCCTCCAGAGAGGCAGTATGAAGACAGCCAGGGAGGGGGCCCAGGTTAATTGCTGCAGCGGCTAAAAACATCCTTGCAGCCAGCATCGATGTCAAGATGACAGGAACTGATACACTCCCTGAGAGACAGGCCAGGGGCCTCAGTGCCTGAATGCACCAAAACTAAAGACAAGACACACATCAGAGGAACACACAACTGTGCATCCACTGGCACAGGCTGGACACAGGAAGTGACCCTGCGAGGGACAGAGAAGCACCCCTACCCACACTGGGGAGGGCACCAATAACAGTAAAACTTCCACCCAGCACGGTGGCGTGCACATGTGCCAACCAACCCACCATGCACACAGGCCGAAGAGAAGCAGTCCCCAACCTGAGAACTAAATGACTCATGCCCAGAGTTAGAGACCTCCACACTCACAACCAGGACCAAGGGTTGGCTAGTCAAAGAGAGACACACCCAGAAGGGTGATACACTCTCATAAACACTCACCAGCAGAGAAAGAGGAAGACAAAGCTCCACACCGAAAGAAACCACCCTGCATGCACCAAGTTGAAAGAAAGGATTCTGTGTGCCAGGGACTGTGCTGGCCACGTTCCCTGTCTGGGGTCCTATTCGATCCCCAAACGATACTACCGGGTAAGAACCAACAACTTTATTTTAAAGATGTGGAAATAGTCCCCAGAGGTAAGACGACTTCACCAAGTGTGAGACAAGGTTGAAATGCAAAGTAGAGCGACGAAGGCACAAGTAAATACACACACAGATGGGACACACCAGAAACCACAGAGAAAGATGCACACCGGAGATACACTGCAAGGGGAGAGTGACAGCTGGAGGGACACACCCACAGGCAGATAGAGAGGCCTCCAAACCCCGTTCCCCACAGTGCAGCCTTGTCCTGGCCCAGCTTGTAGGCACCAAACCCAACATGGGCAGGTCACAGGTATCCTGGAACCCTGTGTCTCGGGGGCCTTTTGGTTCTGGGGCTTATTGAGGCTAGGTCCCCAGGGGTCAGAATCCTGAGCTACCCAGAACCCAGCTCACCCCTAGATTCTCCTGGGCCCCAACAGGTTGGGGACAAGAGAAACAGCCCCTTCTCACCCTCGACTCTAGAGGCAGGCACTGGCAGGACAAGGCAAGCATTTCCACTCTCTGGGAGAGGGCAACAGCCATGCCAGGCGGACCCTCGTCCCAGAGAAACAAGGGGAAACATAGGGTGGCATCACTTCCAGGGCCTGAGCCTCCAAATGGACCGACTCTGCCTGATTTCTGTTTAGAAAAACAAATGGGCCAGGTGCGGTGGCTCAGGCCTGTAATCCTAGCATTCAGGGAAGCCGAGGCAGGAGGATCGCTTGAGCCCAGGAGTTTGAAACCTGCCTGAGCAAGAGTGAGACCCTGTCTCTACAAAAAATAGAAAAATTCGCCGGGCATGGTGGCACACGCCTATAGTCCCAGCTACTCGGGAGGCTGAGGCAGGAGGATCCCTTGAGCCCAGGAGTTTGAGGTTGCTGTGAGCTAGGCTGACACCACTGCACCCTAGTCTAGCCGGACAGAGCAAGATTGTGTCTCAAGAAAAAAAAAAAGAACAAAAGACAGAAAAACAAACGCCCTATTTTAATAGGCGTAGTAGAATTGCACAGCAATCTCAAGAGTCTAAGTGGGCATGAAGAACTGTCACAAACCCACCCAGCTGATTCTGGTAGCACAAGGGAGCACTTTCAACTTATGTAGGAGGAGGTGTTGGCAGGGGACGGAATTTCCAGGGAGAATTAGACAAACGCGTTGCAAGACATGAGCAACTGGGGCGCTGGAGGCACGTTCAGAGAAAAACACACAAGGACACAATCGCACCATGGGAACACGGAGACCCTCAGCCCCATTCTCCACTCTACACAGCCCAGAGAAGCCCGCAGCCCCAGCCAGCCCTTACCGGCTCGCAACAGACACCTGTCATGGAGGTCCCTATGCCTGTTCCCCTGGTGCCCGTGTCCCCGAGCGTGTGCCTGTATGTGCGCCTGCCAATCTTGTTTCCAATACCTGCCCTTCGGGGAGGAAGGTGCTGGCCCAGCCCACAATTCTCATCAGGAGGAAGTTTTTCCAGCCTTGTCACTCCAGCCTTCCCCTCTCCTGACCCTTCACCATCACCCGGGGGTTTTTGCAGGCTGACTCCAGGGCGGCCCCCTACACGCGGACCATAGCCAGCGGCTGCTCCTGGCTTGGCTCTGACGCCTGTTTCCACCTCTCTCCACCCTGGCCACACACATCCTCCTACCACACTCCCAGGTTCCCTGCAAGCTCTGAAGCCTCAAGCTCCAAGTTCTCATTTCCAGCAAGGACAAAGATTCCCTCTTCCCTTCCTGGCCAACAGAGACCTTCCACCTACCTTGTGACAAGGGACTGGGGACAGCATTACATTCTCCAGCAGAAGTCCCCAAACCTAGACGCATAAGGAAGAGTGGGCTTTTACCCAGGACCCCTGGGATTAAGACACCAACTCTGAGGGTGGCGTTTTACAGTGGCGGAGGGGGAATGAAGAAGAACACCCTGTCCTGCCCTGAAGGGTAGATTACGGCTTGGGAGCTGCCGACCGCCCCACCCACGGCCCGGCTCTCAGGGAGGGCGCCGCTCGCTCTCCCCCCAGCGGTCAGGCCGCGCTACTGCAGGGGCGCGGGCCAGGCCGCTGGGGCTCTGCCGCCAAAGAGCCGCCCCCCAGCCAGGACACGTAGACGTAGCCAGGATCAGCTCCAGGCACTTCCCCTTTCCCCAGAACCTCCGCTCCGGCCCCGGGGGACCTGGCAGGATGCCCCTCCCTGACAGGCCTTGCAGCGCCTTGCTCAGCCTCACTCAGCTGGGTCCTGGACCCCCAGGGCTGTCCTCAACCTCCCAAGGGGACTCTGGGCACAAACTCCAGGGCCCAGACCTGCCTAGGACAGAGAAACTTACTTCACTCCTTACCTGTAGCCCCTGCATGCCTGTATGAAACCTCCACCACCAGAGCAGAATGTCATTGCGATCACTGCCCTCCAAGGCCCCCACAAGCCCCTCCAAGCAGCAGGCAGAGATGACACATCCAGGCCTCCCACTATGGGAGGACCCCCATACACAGTTAGCAGGATGCCCTGTCACAGGCAAAGACACACACTTCAGTCAGAGACACGGAGGCTGTGATATGGGCAGTCAGTCACAGGGGCCCAAGGCCACCATGGAACGGCTCCTGCAATGCTAACAGTGAGGGACCCAAGCTGCTGGCTCCAGCCCAGCCGTAGCCCTGGTGGGAACTGAGGCCAGCATGGAGGAAGAAGAGCTTCATCAAAACACACACACTCCCGCAGAGCCCTCCGTGGCACCCCCCCTACCCCCACACTCCCTCGGGCACACCCAGGCTTGGAGGAAACGGCTCATGCTCAGGAGTCCAGAGGGATGGTCTGAGCCCAGGGAAATGCCAGCTCCCTCGGAGCCTGGATGAAGCCCGTGGGGGCGAAGAGGGTGAGGAAGGCCCTAGACACCTGCCACTGCCACCACCCAAGTGAAATGGCACATTCTAAACCCTTCCAGAGGCGCACCTCCCTTCCTCAAACCTAAGTGTGCACAGCACGTGCTCAGCCCAGCTCCAGGGAGAGAAACTCCGGGGCATCCGGGAGTGTCCGGGGAGAGAGCCAGCAAAGTTTTCATCACAGTCAGACTAGCTCTCCCAGTCTGCCTCTCTGCCTGTCCCCAGGCGGTTCCCAAGTTCTGAAGAAGGTAGTGACCACACCCCGGAGCCCCACAGGCCCCTCCACCCCATGGCTTTGCCCCAACCCCTCAAACCAGCTCCAGGCGCAGGGCAACACACTCCACCAGGGCCCACCAGCCAATTCCAAGTTGAGCAAAAGAATCCAGCCTGGTGGCGCCCGGGCACCTCTACGCAGGGTCTTCCAGGGACCCCCAACCCACTCCCTGCCCTTGGCTGATGCCAGCCTTCTCCCTCCCAAGGTTCACTCTCTTTCACGTCCCACCCTGGGCCCATAGCCTCATGCCCCAAACCACGGATGGCTGGTACGAGTCCTCAGCTCTGAGGGTCAGCTCCTCAAGGAGTTGCCCAGACTTGGACCCCTGAATCTCTGCTGTGGGCCTTCATATCAGCAGCACTAAGCCTGTGCGACTGCTGTGGCTCCTGTGTGTCCCTGTTCTCTAAGGTCCCTGTGCCCAACCTCTTAGGGACAAGGGCTTTAGAGAGGGGCTCAGCTACTCCCCACCCTCCTCTCCTACCTGCCCCCAAACCGTGTGCCCTCTCCTAGCTCAGCTCTCATGGTCCAGCTCCTCTCTCCCCCTCCCTCACCACTCCCCCCCCAACAGCTGAGAGCTCAGAGCAACCCAGGGGGCTGCCATGTAGTCCCCACTTGGCACCCTCTACCTACCATGTGCAGGCCCATTGTCCCTAAGGACAGGAGGGGAAGGAAGCTTCCCCATTCAGCTTCTGAAAGGAAGTGAATGCCACACCCAGCCCCTGGGATTTCCCTTGCAGGAGTGGGGATGAAAGCGAGCTCCACTCCCCTATATCACACCCAGAATAGGTGCAGAGGCCTTTCATGGCTTCCAAGGCAGCTTCAATCTCTCTCTCCTTCTCTCGCACTATAGCCCCCCATTGCATCACTGTATCCCACAAAATCAACCCAACGCCTACCATGCGCCAGGCTGTACTAGGACGGGCATCCAGTGAACAGGGTCCCCGCAATCAGAGGTTGGATTTTAATGAGGAAGACACCTTCAGAACCAATCATTGGAAGCCCAGAGCTGTGTTGGGGACATAGAGGTAGATATCTGGGTCACTTTTCCTCTGGAAATTCAGGGTCATTCTCTAAGGACCTCATGGCCATGGGGGGCTTTCACACTGCCTTTCCACAAATCTGCTCCACAGGCACTCAGCAGCCACTGCAGCTCCCTAGGAGCACCTCACTGCCACCCTGACCACAGCCAGGGCCACACCCTGTGGAGCGCGAGCACGCACAATGCACACACTCCTCTGTGGTCTCATAGTGCAGAGGTGCCAGAGCGGCCCCCACCTGGTTGTCCCCCACCTGGTTGTCGGTGCTCAGCTAGAGCTGTGAGATCCCCCAACTGTCCCCTCTGCTCCCCTCTGTGCAAAGGGTACCCCACGCAAGGGGTACAGCCAGCCCTGCTTGGGCCCCATGAGTCCCTCATGGTCAGCGCCCCCACACCCGGGCCTTGGCACTGCAGGGGGCGCCCAGCCCTGCCAGGGGCGAGCCAGGCGGTCGCACACTGCACACCCCCTCCCTGCATGGGAAAGCCTTACATAACAGAGTTCTTTGCACACACCCTAAGCACGCTGCCTTTCTCACCCCACGGCAGGACCTCGCCCCCCGGACCTCTCTCCTGGCGCGCACTGCTTGAGTGGAGGGTTCCCGCGAGTGCAGCGAAGCCCTTCTCCCACGCCAAGCTCTGCTCCTGCCCCCACCTCCCACACACAGCCCCCTGCCCCTCCCCTTTGCCCCTCACCACTCCTCCCTGAGTTCTGGTTTGAATTAGTCACCAGCTCCAACCACCACATTCCTCAGGCTACTGGCGCCGAGCCAGGCGCTGGGGCGGGGGCCATCCCGCCCGAACGGGTTTGGGAGTGGGGCGGGGGGAAAGCGCCGCCTCTGGAGGGGAAGGGGCGGTCCCCAGGGCAGTGCCGCAGAACTGCCCCCCTCCCCGCCCACCCCAGCGCAGGAATCTCCTTAATTATGTCCCCCGCCGCCGCACACCCATCCAGCTGGGCGGCGCGCAGCAAACTCCAGGCTCCGCCGCCCCGGAGGAAGAAGGGAGTTTTCTGGAGCTAGGAACACCGAGGGGCAAGACTAGGGCGGGGCCGCTGAAGGGGGGGTGAGGGGACCGCAAGGAGCGAGAAAGGGAGAGGCTGGTGGTACAGAACAGGGTGGGGCCGGGAGGACACGGGACCTGAAGTCGGGGGCGGAGGTGTGGGGAGCAGGAAAGGGCAGCGGAGGGGGCGCGCGGCGCGGGGGTGCGAGGGCGGGGGATCGCGGCAGCGATCTCAAAAACTTCTCTAGTAAACATGGACTACAAACGGAGCAGCCCCTGAGCCAGGGGCCACCAGGCCAGGATCGCTACCCCTGCCGTGCAGTAGGACCAACAATCCGCCCTCAAGAGAAATACCGAGCTGAGCAAAGCACACTTCGGAGCGATTTTCCAACTTTGCCAAACTTGCGCCCCAACTCCAGAGGCAGCGCTCCACTTCCAGGAAGCGACAAGTCGCCTCCCCGGGAGGCCCTGGACAACCCAGTTTGCTCCAAACTATTTGAATTCTCGCAGTGACACCCTCCCCCCAACAACAAGCCTCGCCCAAGCCCCGCAACCCACGTCCCCCCGACACGTTCTCCGTGCCCTGGCCCCCTACTGCGCCACGGTGCGCCTGGCACCCCTACCTGCGCGCTCAGCCCCAGGGCACAGCCATAGTCGGCGCGGGGCCCGAGGCTGCGGTGCTGCGGCTGCTGGCGGCGGCGAGCCCCGATCGGGGCGGGTCCGGCAGGGCGGGCAGTGCAGTCCCCGCGGCAGAGCTGCTCCGAGTGGCCGGGCCCCCGCGCACGGAGGCGGCTCTTGTAACTCCGGCTCGGGCGGGCGGGTCTGCCCCGAGCTGTGGGGAGAGGGCGGGGCCGGGCGGGGCCCTAGCGGGGCTGGGACGAGCGAGCGGGGCCGACACTAGAGGGACCCGGGGGTGGTCTGCTGGGGGATGGGCTGCAGCGAGGCGCTAGGACAAGAGGACGTCGCCTTCCCTCCTACCCGCCGTCCATTGCCCCCTGTTCTATCCCGGGCCTGGATCTACCCCCCAGCATGTGCAATGGGTAGCTTCATCGGCAAGAAACTCCTGGAAGCTCCCTGGGGCTCACAGCTGGAACTGCGAATCAACCCATTTTGCAGGAAGGGCCAAGGAGCTCAGAAAGCTGCTTGGGGCTTAAGTGATTCGGCCGCGAACTCCAGCCCGACGCGGACCTTGGAGTTTTACCTCGACATAGGCAACTACGCTTCAAATCCCAGGCCCCAGCCTCCTCGTTTGGTTCCCAAGCTCCGTGCAGCCGCGCCCATTTCTCGCCTTCCTTCTTTCTGGGGGCCCCTCAACCCCTCCCGCCACAGAACTGTCTTGGAGATGCTCGTCCCACCCCCAGGAGTCAGGGTCACCAGTGCCCCACGCGCCGCGGGAGTCAGGGCCTGCAGCCCTCGGAGGAGCGGACCGGGCTGCCCACCTTCCTCTCCAGGCTCCCGCCCCGCAGAGGCCGGAGCTCCAGCTTTTTCCTCCGCCTTCCCGTTCCTTCCCGGCGCCCCTCTCCAGCCCCTCCCCACCTCCCCACTTGCAGGACGCCGAGTTTCCCAATTTACAGCCATTTCCCACAGCCACTTCTAACTACATGGAGATTTTATTAAACGCTTAATGATGGGGTGCAGGGGCCTTCTGGCTACACACCCCCCTTCCACACCCCCTTTCTCTTCTCCCCCCTAGGCGGCCACCCACTGCCCACTCCAAGCCGGTTTCCCTTCTTTTCCAAAAGTTGGGGAACGGAGACCCCCTGCTGGGGAACTGAGAAGCCCTGGCTGGAGACAGGAGCACCCTCCTTGCTGCAAGATCATGAGTGGGCTGGGGCTGAGACCAGCTCGGCCCTATCCTCTGAAATGGCAAACATGTTTACAGGCTAAAAATACCCAGCAGCCAACTCTGCTGCCAGCCCTGGGGGCTGTGTCCAGGTCCAGTTACCGGCACAGGGTACAGGCATGGGGGAGGGAAGAGACAGCGCAAGGAACCACAGACATGCAGGCACTCATATAATGGACACAGAAAGGTGGAGACGCGTGTGTAGACACCCTGACAGGCATAGACATGCAGAGACACACAGAGCAGAGACTTGGGCACCAGCATATTCTCTCTCTCCCTCTCTCTCTTCCTCTCTCTCTCTCTCTCTCTCTCTCTCAGAGACCTGGATAGTGACTCAACCCCACGGCTGGCGGAGGCAGCGCCACCACACACATCACAAGCGCACAGTCATAGATAGATGCAGACGTTCCCAGCAACCACCTCCTCTCCCGTTCTGTTCAGCGCCCCCTTTCCTAGCACTTACCTTACAGGAAAAAAAAAATCCAAACTTTCAAACTTTAGAAGACTTCAAAAAATAAAAACCAAGAGCTAATTATGTTCTTCACCAACGGCTTTTTAAATTTTTATTTCATTTTAAATAATGTTTATTCAGCTTTTTACATATAGACCAAGAATAAGAGATTAATAAAATAAAATGGCCCGTAATCCCACAAGCTAGATAATCCCTGCTGACGTTTTTTAAATAAAATCAATACTCTATATGGCAAAGAATTTAAACAATAGAGAAGAGTACAGCAATAAAAAGTAAACATCTCCCTTCTCCCCTACCCCAGTCCCTCTCCCCAAAAGTAACCACTATTAACAGTTTACTAAAGGATTTTTTTTTGGGAGGAGGGGACAGAGTCTCACTGTGTTGCCGGGGCTAGAGTGCCGTGGCATCAGCCTAGCTCACAGCAACCTCAAACTCCTGGGCTCAAGCGATCCTCCTGCCTCAGCCCCCTGAGTAGCTGGGACTACAGGCATGCGCCACCATGCCCAGCTAATTTTTTCTATATATTTTTAGTTGTCTGATTAATTTCTTTCTATTTTTAGTAGAGACAGGGGTCTTGCTCTTGCTCAGGCTGGTTTCGAACTCCTGAGCTCAAACAATCCGCCTGCCTCAGCCTCCCAGAGAGTTAGGATTACAGGCGTGAGCCACCGCACCCGGCCTAAAGGATTTTTTTAACTTTATGAAATGAATCATCTTTTGGTCCTTGAAAGAGCAAGTTTTCCCAGTGCTTATTAAAGTGGAAGGTGATTTTTCAGAAAGATAGCTATAATATAAGAGATGCAACAAAGGCACGGGGTATCTGCAAAAAGAGCTAAGGGCGTTTCGGGGGTTGGGCTGGGGCAGGAAAGGAAGAAGAGTAGGGAAGGGCGTGGGTGCTGTACCTTCACCTCAGCTGGGCTCTATGGGCCCCCCAGGATCAAAAGAGCAGAGGCCAGTGTCCCAGGCCCAGAGCCAGCTTATCTGCTGCATTGTTTGTTCTGGCCACCCTCTTGGTCAACAGGGAAGAAGGCAGGAGGGAGAGGCTGGGTTTTGGAGCAGCCCCACAGCAGGGATCACTGTCCGGGTACTTCATTGAGGAGTAAGGGTGTCAAGCTCATCTGGTGGGGGGTAGTTCTGGGCACTGGGTCCTGCGCCTTTCCAGGGTAGGAGGGGAAAGGTGTAACTTCAGCCCAGGCCCCTAAAACAAAGCATGATCCTGCAGGCTGGAACCAGAGCAGGGTTTTCCCAAGTCAGCCTCCTCAGCCCAGGCGAGAGGAATATTTTCAAAAGTTTTCAAAGGTGTAAGTGGAGACGCACACTTTTAGAAGTTTCAGCCAACTCTTCTCCTTCTCCCCACGGAGGTAGTCCCCACTCTAAAGCCCCTAAAGTTACCTTAAGGGTGATTGTGTCTGACCCTGCAGCAGGTACTTTCACATTAGCTCTTTTAGTCCTTACATCTGCTGCGAAGGAGGCACTCAGGAAATGGTCTCAGAGAGGGTTCGAGATTTACCTGAAGTCACACAACTCGCAGAAGCAAGAGTAAAAGCTCTCACCATCAAATTGGTATTAACTGATCAACACATAAGTGCACATATAAGAATAACATCTATTGGATGTTGGGCAGGGGGGAGGAGGGAGGAGGGAACAGGTATATGCATACACAAAGAGTGCAATGGACATATTTGAAACTCGGACTTAGGGGAGGAGGGGGGCAAGGGCAACATACATAACCTAAACATCTGTACCCCCATAATATGCTGAAATAAAAAAAAAAAAAGAATAAAACTCCCACTAGCGCCGAAGCCCCATGAGGGCAGGGGCTTTTTTCCTCTGCTCCATGCACATAGTCATAAATGCCTAGAGCAGTAGCTGGCACACAGCAATCACTCAAGAACATGTGTTTTTTTGTTTTTTGTTTTGAGACAGAGTCTCACTCTGTTGCCCAGGCTAGAGTGCTGCGGCGTCAGCCCAGCTCACAGCAACCTCAAACTCCTGGGCTCAAGGGATCCTCCTGCCTCAGCCTCCCGAGTACCTGGGACTACAGGCATGCGCCACCACGCCCGGCTAATTTTTTCTATTTTTGGTAGAGACCGGGGTCTCACTCTTGCTCAGGCTGGTCTCAAACTCCTGAGCTCAAGCAATCCTCCTTGGCCTTGGCCTCCCAGAGTGCGAGGATTACAGGCGTGAGCCACCACACCCGGCTTTAAGAACACGTTTTAAATGGATGAATGAACTCCAGGTGTGACTGGCCCCAGCGCCCTTGCCCTTTCCTACATCCCATGCTGTCTCAGCTTCCCTGGCTCTCAGCCCCCTGGGAACAATTCGCCTTCTTGTGGGTCTCTCTTGTCGCTGCTCGAACATTTATTGTGTGTCCAGTGCTGCGCGGGGCCCAGTGGTGGTGGTGGTGAAGGAAATAGAGAACTTGGCAAGATGGAATCCCCCCCCCCCGCCCTGTCTCAAGGCACTCAGTCCAGAAGGAAATGGCTCTGATCCCCTTTACCTTGTCGTTTGAGTGCCTTGGAGGTTCTATGCCTTGAGAAAATTAAAAGGTATCTTTTCTATGAGGTCTCTTACACAGCTACCCCCCTACACACATACACACACTGTTTTTCAGTTATAAGGAGTCCCCTTGGTCCTAATGCTACAAAGAAAAGCTCTGACTTCTTGAAGGTTTAGACTCCTCTGTCAAAATAAAGGCTGTCCTCTTATATCAGAGAGAAGGTCAGCCCTGCCCCTGGCACTCCCCCACCCTTCAGAGGGAGCCACACCGCAGTCCTCCAGACTCCTGGCAAAGCCAGGTGAGCTCTAGGACTGACATCGCTGGGATATCCCAGCTTCCTCACAAGTGACACTTCCTCCTGGGAGGGGGTTCCCTGATATGTACGGTGTGTGGTGTGTGATGAACCTTGGGCTCTTCCGTTGCCAGGCAACGTGCCTCTGTTTTGTTCCTATTATGCCTGTTTCCATAGTAACCACAAAGGGGAGCTCTGTGGGCAGGCCCCTTGCCAGGGGATTCCCCTTCCCCTCCCTTCTCACCAGCCACAGTCCCCTTTTCTGAAATCAGCATGTTACAGGGAAGAAAAGAGGCCAACTACTCAAAGGGTAATCTCGTTTTTAAACTCCGATCCCAGAAAGGAAGTGAAGTGTGCAGACTGTTTGCAATCTTTTTAGAAGCAGACTCCCCCCATCGCTGAGTGTCCTTTTGCATAGCTTCCTTAGAAACAGAGGAATGACCTTTCTTAGTGCCATCTGGGCACTCCCGGACCCCACCTCCACCCCACACACCAGCCCAGGGACTAGCATCCCTGCCAAACAGGCCCGTCTCCATTCGCTTTCATCACTTCCTAATCTGTCATCTTCCCCAGTGTAACTGCAAACCTATTGGGTGATTCGGGAATCCAAACATTATTTCCTAAGTAATTC